TAACTCAAACCGTAACTATTATTGTTGATAATACAGATTATAGAAAAATCAACGAACTAACATCCCAATTAGCCAATATGACAAAAAATAGAGATGAGTGGAAACATACTGCAGAAGAAATCTCAAAAAATAGAGATGAATAGAAACAAAGTTCAGAAAAGTGGGAAAATAAAGCAAAAGAATGTGAAAAACATAGAGAACAAATTGAAAACAGAATAAATGAAATCATATCCTCTCACCTAAACATCAACATTACCAAAATTGAAAAAAATTTGTCAACAATTGAGAAATTAGATACCATATTAAATACTATCAAACAAAAAGTTAAAGAATGCTTGAAGCTGCTAAGTATACCATTTCAAACTGGTGATAGTTTGATGTCAATGCTTAAAAAATTAGTAAAAGTTTGTGAAGAAATTGGAATTATTGGTCCTGTTCAAGAAAATTTATTAAGATGCTTAAAAAATTGGATCCTAAAACTCAAATAAATGATTCTAAATCTTTTAATAGAAATCCTAGACATGGAAGTATGGACATTCTAGCAAAAGCATGTTATAAAAAAGGTTGGGTAACAGATTCTGATTCTGAATTTGTGAGTAAAAAATTCGAACCTGATTCTAAACTTTCTTTTGTTAGAAAATTAATGAGATGCTATTACTATATAGTAGGAAAAAGTAATCCATTTAGTATAAGAACAATGGCAGAAAATTTGTTTGCAGTAATTCATCCCAATCAAGAAAAATTATAGAAATGCTTAAAATCATTAACACCTCAAATTTCCGATTTTAACTCTAAATACGATTATATCGATAACTTGGTAAAAGCATGCTATGACTATGGACCAACTAAAAATGTTTCTAAATATAAAGACAGAAAATATCACTATAAACATAATATTAGTTTTATAAAAAAATTAAACTGATGTTATTACTATTTGATCAATGAAAGTTATAAACTAAAAAGTATTGAAACCAAAATTAACGATTTAATCACAATATCCAAACCCAATCAAGAAAAACTATAGAAATGCTTAAAATTATTAACACCTCAAATTTCTGATTTTAATCCTGGATACAATTATATTGATGACTTAGTCAAAGCTTGTTATGACTATGAACCAACTACTAAAAATGATTCTAAATATAAAGACATAAAATATCATAGTAAACGTAATATTAGCTTTATAAAAAAAATAAATAGATGTTATTTTTATTTGATTAACAAAAGTCATTTAGAAAAAGGCGTCGAAACAATGATTGACGAATTAATAAAAGAAAGTTCTTTAATTAGAAATAATTAATCTAGTAGTTTTTTTTTTAATTATATATTTTATATTTCTATTGTATTAGTACATAAATAATTTATTTATATACTTAAAATTATTTATAAATAAACAATTTATTTTTCTATTTAAAATCAAATGAATGAAAATATTCGACCAAAGTTCTTCAATTTCAGGCTAACTGACCACAAATACTCGACCAAATATTTAATAAATCTAAATTTAGTAAATTGTGTAAAATTAATTATAAAATTTTTGTTTAAATAGGTAATCTCCTAGCAGATTACAGGTATGGCAGCTAGTGTAGAACCTTCAGGCATACTATTTAAATTAGGTAACCAAAAGTTGCACGTGTGGCTGGTTGCATACTCACCTTGTACAAGTTATATGTAATGCATTAACTAAAAACACAAATAAAGGCAGTGGCCACCGTAACATCGGCCTTAATAACAAAAAAAAAAAAAAAAAAAATTATAAAATTTTAATAAAATCTAATTTAACTATAAAACAAAAGAAGCAATATATAATCCCACTAAAAAAAAAATAAAAGTAAAATCAAAAAAAAAATTCTATTATATTAAAGAAAAAAAAAATTACAAAGAAACAGATATGTCTAAAGCTGGTGTTATTTCCCTAAAAAAATCTGCAGTAGAAGGTTGTAGAATCTTTAAAAACAATGATGACAATACTCTTCTTGTTTTGAAAAAAGTTTGTGCAAGTAACCTAAGAATGGTTTTCATTAAAAATGATAAAATCATTATACCACCTAAAGATTATTTTTATGAATATGTTTCTGGAGATAAAGTTGAAACCTATTCTAAATCTGATAATTACAATAGTGTTCCTTGTTTTCTTGTCAGAACTGATTTGTATAGATATACATTCTATTTTAAGAACAAAAAAATTCTTTCGTTCCATGATATGATGCAATTTTTGGGTACTAAACCTAGTAGTATTCGTAGTTACAATCGTGAAAAAAATTCAAACATTTTTTTAAAGATCAACAATATTTTGGGAAATCTGAAAACAAACAAGAAAATTACAATAATATCGAAATAAAAGAAGAAAAAAAAAGAATAATTATTACATAATTGCATCACATTTCATGTATTAAATATTATAAATAAAATTAGTAATTTAAATCGAAACTGCGTATAAAAAAAAATATTAAAAATATAAAAACATTGATTTTACATTATTCAAACATAAATAAATCTGCATAAAATAACAATCAAATTATAACAATAGATTCTTATTATTTTAACGATTTTTTTAATAAGTATATAATAAAATTATACTTCATATATTGCTTAAATTAATTTTATTTAATTAAATTTTTAGTATAGCGACAAGTACTTTAAATGTTTCTTTGAATAAAAGAAACAAAGTCGTTTATGATTCTGATGAACAAAATTTTCTTGGTCTTCCTTTTAAGATTAAAGTCGAAACAACTGATGAAATAGTAAGCGCAAAATTGTCATTTGTCAACAAAAATGATGGTGAAAATATCGATATTCCGAATGGAATCACATGTAAAGATTTTACAGAAAAAAGAAGAAAATCAAAACCTCCTCTTTCTGAATATAATTTTTTTTTACTTAATTATCCAAACAAATATGTATTTTATTACAACAATGAAAATTCTAAACCCACAAAAGAAAATAAAATTTATATTATCGATTGTAAAATAAAAAAAAGTTACCAAATTTTTAACTTTAAACCAACAAATGAAAGACAAAGAATTAGCGAAGAATTAATTCTTGAATATGCACAATTATATGATGATACTGACGATAATGCTGATAACGATGATAATGATAATGAAATCAAAGAAGAAAACGAATAATAATTTAAATAATAATATATTTAGTTTTATTTTTAAAAAATATATATTAACTTTATAAATAAACAATTCGAATTAATTACTTAATTTGGATTTATTAAACACAAAAATAAATATAAACTCTTTTTTTTTTAAGTTCGATAAATATAAAATCTCATGATGATTAAGTTTTTAATTGGTTTATTTATTTTTTTTTGTTTTAATTTTTTTTCTTGTAATTTGTCTAAACTTTAACTTTTTTTTAGAATTACATTTAAAATTTACTCTTTGGAATATGCGTCTCAATAAAATATTACATAACTTTTATGCACTATATCTGAACTTTAATAAAATAATAAATTTAGTATTGTTCAAGCAAACAAATATAGTTAAACTCGAACAAGATATTGATCATTCTTTGTCTTTGTTAAATATTAAATACGATAAAAATATCAACATTAACCAAAAAATAACTTTATTAGTTAATGCATGTAATAATATTTTGAAAATAAATTAGATTTGTTAATTTATAAAATAAAATTAACATGTCTGAAAGCAACATTGAAAACATTCGTTCAAAAGTTTTTCAAATCCCAAGCAGATCAGGAGAACTCGATCGTATACAAGGAATTATTAATACTTTAAGTGCCGATAATAAAAAACTGAAGGAAGAAATAGAACTTTTAAAAACAAACAACTCTTTATTAGAACAAGAAAACAAAGACTTAAAAGATGCAAATGATACTTTAAAAAATGAAAACAATGATTTAAAAACAATGAACAAAGGATTAAAGAAAGAAAATGAAGAATTAAAAAATGACATTAAACCCCTCACTGATAAAATTCATGATTTGGAAGAAGAAAATAAAAATATTAAAGCAGAAAATGATGAAAATACAAAAGAAAATTTAAGTTACGAAGAAACTTTAAAAAATCTTAATTCTAATATTAATATTGTTTTAAATTCTTTTAATGTCAAATATAATATTGATGATCTGATCAAAAAAAAATGGAAAAAATTGTAAAATTAGCAAAAGATATAAAGAATATTACTGAACCAGAAAAAAAATTATTCCAAAATAATTTTTATTATAATTTTTTATTATATATATATATATTGTATAAATTTATTTAAAATAACAATAAATAAAAAATTTTCTACAAATTATATATAATACAAATAAATCAAAAACATAAACACAATAAACAAAAAAATATAAAGAGATAATTTTAAAACGAACAAATAATTATTTTCTTGTTCTTCTCGTTCTAATTTTTTTTCTTGTTGTCATTCTTCTTGTTCTTGTTGTCGTTCTTCTCGTAATGCTATTAATAATCTGTAAATTGTTTTAACTTTTGTACAATAATTGTTTCTTTAAAAAAAGATAAAAATATTTTTATTAAATATAAATTTTAAAATAAAATCTTAAATTTTACTCTCAATATATTTAATAATAATGCAAACAGTAGCCGAAATCAAAGTTCCGAAGATTTTTGTTCATAAGTAAAATATAACATAAATATAATAACAATAAAGAAAAAAAAGCAACAATAAAAATTTTTGTCTTTCTTCATGTTCTTCTTTTCTTTCCTTCATTAAAGCTTCCAATAATAGTTTATTTATCTCATTTTTATTTTTGATAATTTTGTTATATCGATTATGTGTTTTGTTTAGTTCTTTTTTGTATTTGTTTAAAGTTAAATTCTCATCTCGTTTTGTTAGTCAGCCCATTCGTTAAGCAGACTAAAAAGTTCTCATCAATTGTCTCTAAGATTATTTTTTTTTAGTCATATTCAAGACAGAAAAATAAAAAAAAATACAAAATAAAAGTTTATCTTTGCATTACAAAAAAAGCGTTTCGAGTAAAAACTAAAGATTCCATTTTTTTAGTTTATTTAAATATTAAGATTATCTAAATATAATAAAAATATAAAAAATAATTCACTATTCGTATTTTATTTTAATTTATATTATTTATTATAAAATTCCGCAACTCTGAAACTCCGTTTAATAAGTCTAAATTTAGTAACTGATTTTAAATAAAATTCCAAAACACTCTAAATAAATCTAAATTAAGTAATTGATTTGAAATGACTCTGAAACTCCGTTTAATAAATCTAAATTAAGTAATTGATTTGAAACGATACTCCGAAACTCTAGTTAAATAATTTGTAATATACACATAAAAAACTGATAATCGTCAATACAAATACCTATGAATTTCTTTTTTTTGTAATTTTATGCTTTTATTTCTTGAGAGTAGGGCCTCTTTCTTTGAAAGTTTAGTTCGTAATGTAAAAATCACAGAGTTCGAGTAGTTCTTTCTTAGAAATGCATAAATTTCTCCTTGAAATAAAAGTTAAATTTGCTTTGTTTTTTTTTTACTAACTACTAATTTTTTTTTATTTTTTTGTAGTCTTCATATGAAGGATGGTTTCAAAACTGTATTTACGTCTTTTGTAAAAAGAGATATCATGTCAGAAGGTGAGAATCCTTCGTCCTTCACTTAGAAATATGGCAGAAATCTACTGATCGTTAAGAACCTCACCAATCCTTGATGTGTGATTGCAGTTTATGATATATTCACTTAGAATCGATTTTCTTGTCATTTCTTCGTTTGAAGAGAATATTAAAACGTAAGTCACGTAGCCTTCATATGGACATATGTGGTTATTAACTCGATCCTATTTTAAAGAAAAAAAAAAAATTTAAAGTTTTATAAAAATATCGATATTTTTTATTACCCACCTTCATTTCGTTATATGTTTTAAGGTTTTTGGTTGTTTTTTCTCGTTCTTTTGAGATAGTTTTAACGATCCATAAAAAACAACAAGATTTTGGTCAGATAATATTATCTGATTTCAAAAGTTTTCAGGTTCAGAGTTGCCTGCGAAAAGCTCAAATTTCTCCTACTGCGGGATGTAACAAGCAGTCATAATCCTTA